TGTCTAGATCTTCTTAATGTGCCTATTGGTCTCAGAACTTGCTCAAGCTAAATATGTAAAGCCAGCGTTTCACTCCAAATGAAAATAAGAAAAATTAGCCGTCGTTGTTCGCGTTCTCCAAAATACGCAACAGTTAGTCGTTTTACGTTTATTGTTGTGCAGAGGACGGCAAAGAAATGCACAGAGATTTATAACGGACGTGCACAGACATTGTTACTCATTTAACCTTTTTTTTTTTGGTTGCGTTCTCTTTGCCGTCGTGATTTGCTTAAGCTCTCTATTGACGTAGAAACCTCCGACGCCCACACTAATAATAAAGCCCTAAAACAAGACGGTTCGTATTGTGAAAGATTTCGGCAGATAAGCTGCAAAATTCATCGAGTATGCTCAAGCTAAGGATGTTAATATTAACAGCGGTTTTAACGGAGATAAGTTTCTTGTGTAGTACATCCGTGTGTACAATGAATTCAAAGCAATAAAGAGGTTTAAAATAGACTGCCATGTCATTGGATAAACTGATGATGAAGAACCGCCAATCATGTGAAAGCTATATTAGTTAATGGAATATAGACTTTTAACTTTCAGTCATGTTTTGACAAAAACCTGGCAACATGAAACATAGAAGCTTTGAAAAAAACGAAATGTCTTGCAACGCATCATCTTTAGCTCTTCAGTTTGTGACAGACTTGGCAATTGACTTTGAGAAATATCTTTATCGTAAAGGACTACATCGAGCACACATTTGTTACTGTCTCCTCTCTAGTACACTAATATTCGTGACTAACTACTTTCTGTTAAAGTGAGGTTTCCTAATGGCTATGAGTAAATGGAAAGTGCGGTCTTACTGATACGGCATGCTTCTGTTGAATGCAAGGGTTACTTTTACACCTTTTGCTGTTCATTTACATTCCTTTTTCAACAAAAGACTTTCAATAACAGAATTTGCATGAGCACTCACAATCAATTGCATTATTATACAACCATATCCATGAAGGTGACAATCTTTAGTGCGGTGAGACAAACATTACAGCCATAACAACATTTATTTTTGGTAGAGAGAATATGAAATTTGCTGAACAATTTATCCCTCAATTGCCTCACTATTGAGGCATCGTGGCAAATATGTTTGCATGAA